ACCAGAAAAAATGAACATGTATATACCCCAATTTAAAATTATGTTTATGTTTGGTAATAATATTGAGATATACAATGTATGAAGAATAACGTTGAAATGGATTGCGTGTTATGAGAGTTAAATTTATTCAAAATTATAACCCCTTTGCTGGGAAGGTACCAGAAGGTGCGGGCCAGTATGTTCCATCTCCACCTCATATTTGGTGTAAGTTGAAATGGTAGGGTGTATGATATTTGAGAAGAGTCAGAAAAAAATTCATACCGATTGCGGGGGAGGTATCAGAGACAGATGTCAGTTCAATCCTATTTTCATACCAGACCTAGATTTAATAGAAATATTTGGATATGCCAAATTCGGAGGCAAACGGACTCCATTTCACATTTTATAAGTGCTATTATTATTCAAAATTTTAAGTATCAGAAGCTGGGTAGGTACCAGAAGGAGCGGGTCAATATATTTCATCTCCACCCCACATTTTGTGTAAATTGAAATAGTAGGGTGTATGAAATTTGAGAAGAGTCAGAAATTAATTTCGCATTTTATGAGAGTTTTAATTATTCAAAAATTCAAACCGGTTGTGGGGGAGGGAGATATCTGAAGCAGATGTCAGTTCTATCCTATTTTCATAGAAATATAGGATATGCGTAATTTGGAGGCAAACGGACTCCATTTCATATTTTATAAGTGCTACTATTATTCAAAATTTTAAGTATCAGAAACAGTTTTCCATTTTCACACCGGACCTAGCACTGATACAAATATTAGGATATTGAACGTTTAAATGAAATTGGATGATCTTTATTTGGAGGCCAACGGACTCCATTTCGCATTTTTTAAGTGCTATTATTATTCAAAATTTTATGTATCATAATATAATATTAGAATTTACAAAGATTGCAGAAAAATGATCAATTCTTTTTGGTCTATTAGGCAAATTATTTTCCGTAAAAATGTTAACCTTTTGTGGCGGAGGAACCACAAGGTGTTGGCCGATATTTCCCATTTCCGAATTCGATCTATGTTTGGCAAAAATATTACGATATACCAAATTTGGACCAAATCGGATTCTCCTTGAATCGATTTAAATTCAAAGGAACATCGATTTTTTTGCCGACGGCTCTTATCAAACTTTTAAAGATCAGAATATTTTTGAGATACTACGTCCTAAGTCAGAAAATGAACCAAGTCTTCGCATAGCCCCCATGTAACGGTTCCTCCCAATATTCGGTATTTTGATGATTTTAGCGTCATTATTCACCGGAATCGTTTCAAATTACGTATTTAGTTTTCGTAATGGGAACTACAGTCTGTGACAGAAAATTGCCTATGCAGGTCCAGGTCTTCGTATATAGTAGGTGCACGTCGCGTAGGTCCTATTATAACGGCTATATTCTGTATTGTTAAAATATTAACAGAATTTTTGGCGAATGTTATCTTTTTCAAAAATGTTCAAATTCATTCTAAATGGTGGAGGGTATTCGAAGCTCGGCCGGACCGAACTTTTTTACTTGTTATAAAATCAAATCTTATCATCGGAAGTGCTACCATTTAAGTTGCCATTCTTAACCCTCCGTTTTACTCTATTGTGTTCTATTTTATTTATATTTTTAATCTTTCAACACCTTGACCACAATGAGAACTTCTTTCTTTCTTTTCCCCTACATTTGGCTTCATTATTTTTACGACTTTTTGATAAAGTTCCCAGCTCCCAATTTTTTATGATTTCATTATCTCTACTTTGACTTGTGTTGGAATCGTTTTTTTTTATTTATTTGTGTTTATCTTTATTTTGATTTTATTGTTTCCCAAAATTTATATGCAGTACATGACGTTAATGTCCCCTCCCAGCCATCCCTAATAAAATAAGGTATTTCGTTGGATCTACATTAATTAAATGGTCAAAGAATTAGTCCATTGGGTATTAGTGATTGTTGCTGTTGATGAGAAATAGATTTCGGTAGAATTTCCAGGAATTGTGGTTAATGACTTTATTTGATGTGTTGAGAAGAAAATGTTGGGGGATTTTCTTATTATTTTTGGAATGTAGTTAGTGTGGGTTTTCAACAGTTGTTTAGGATTTCTAATAGAAAAAAATGAGAATAGAAAACTTGAATAGAGTTGTTCAATGGGAAAGAGGAAATATAATATTTGTTTGCTTCTCTTTAAGGCAAAACTTTATTCGACCCAAATGCTGTTAAATTTATAATTCAATTAAAACAGAATTTTTGATTTTTTTTTAATTTTTTGGTTTTCCAACTTAAAAATAATTGTATAATGACTACAACTTTTTTATTTTTCCATTTCTTATTTTCTATTTTTCCTCCACGTTTTTCCTCTTTTTTTTAGAAATATTTTTTTTTAATAAATTAAAAAAAAAATAAATAAATATAGTTATCATAAAATATACATTTACAGTAAAACTATAATTCGATTTTATTTACTCTTCATTACTTATATAATTTTATTTTTAATTTCCCTGTATTTTTATTATTCTTTTCTTTTTTTTTGCCTTTGCAAATGCTCCAATTATAAACTATGAACCCATAATTCATTTGCAATCCAACAATAAAACATGCATATATATAAAACACAAGAATGCCATTTAACTTCCGGTCACTCTTTAAATAAACTTTGCTCCAGCAGCAGCATCATCATCAATGAGCACAGAATATAACCCTCTCACATGAGAAAAATTGCGTTTTGTTTTGTTTTTGTAAAACAAATAAACACACACTCAAAACAAATGCTCATTGAACTTCAATGCAGTTGATGTTAAAGCAATTGCATTATTTTTAGTCATCTGCTTACATGGATGCTCTATCATCCAATTTGCTTGTATGTATATGTGTCGTGTGTGTTCTGTGAGTGATTTTACTACAAGTACGAGTCAACGACTTCCGTTTTATGAGACAAAACCCGACAAACACACACGAATGTTACCCGGTGAGAGTTATGAGTTGTTGCTCTCTCTCCAAAATATGAATAATGGTTATCTTCTCACATACACTTCTTGTCTCTGCCTTCTCACTCATACCCATCTATCGTATGTCAACAAGAGTAATGGGCAAGTGCAACCGAGAATGACTATCATTATTTATTTTTTTTTTATAATTGCCATGACGTAGTTGTTGTAATGCAAATTAATTAATGTATTTAAAGAGTAATTAACACCACATGTTGCAAGACGGAGGCCCAATGGACAACAACCCACCATGAAGTGGGAAAAGAAAATGTTTAATGTAATTCGTAGAGAAAAAAAATGTGAGGAGAGGACGAGAGAAGTGAAAAAGAAAATAAACAATAAGAAATCAAAAACAATTAGTCGGGCAAATAAACTGGCTAATGGGAGAAATGCAATTTGCATACGACCGAGAGCTGACCATAGAGTGAGTCACAAAAGGCATCCAAATGCTGAGATAGTTGGAAGCCAAAAGACCATTCCATGACTTTGAGTTTTTGCATTCCTTTTACTTTTATTTAGCGATGGCTAGCCGATCGATCTTGTGATTTTATAGATCCCATGAGATGTCTGTTTGTCTGACTGTCTGTCTCTCTGTTTGTTTTTACTTTTTATTAATGTGCCAGTGTTGAAACTAATTGGATGTTGGCCGATGAGACATCATAGAGTAGGTATTTTATGTCTTTGAAGTGGGAAATATTTTCGATGGGAAAATTTCGTGAAATATATTTTTTTCTTTTTTTTTTTGATGACCAAGGGATGAGGGAAAGCGGCCACGAAATTTAATGAGGGAAAACCGGCAACTTAGTTAAAAACGGGGAAATTTTTTTTTGGATATTAAGAGACGAGAGTATCTGGAATCCAATGAGAAAAAAAAAAAAACAAAAATGGGATATGAGAAATTTGAAGAGAACCGGATGCTTATTGACTCCTTGTGGTAGAGGTACCAGAAGAAGTTTGCCGATATATTTCATCATCACAGCAGATCTTGTGCTGATAGAAATTATGAAATCTGCTTGGTTTTAATGGAATCTGATATTAATTTCTGTGTTTTATGAGCAATGATATTACCTATTTTCCCACCTAACTAAGCATGGATTCCAATATTAGGGTTTGTAAATTCGGCACAAATCGGATGATGATGTTTTTCTGTGCAGTAAAGTATTTTCTTAGAAAAATTTGACCTTTTGTGGGGGAGGTACCGATACATTTCATATAAGTTTGATAATCATCAGAGTAGGGTGTAAGGAGCTCCATAGCTGCTTTATTTAAAACTCCATAGAGAGTTAATAATTCGTGGCCACACTTGTTTGCTTATTTACAACTTGGACGGCGAATGGCCTGTTGCCAACTGCAGCCGAAAGAATGAAGAAATAAAAATTGTGAATTTTAAATTAGTTTAAATTGAATTGCATTTGCATTATATGGTGGCATGCAACAGTGCTTGGTGTTGCTGTTTTTTTTTTTCTGTGTTGTTTGTTTGGTTGAACGTTTACACATGATTTTGCCGGTTGGAAGTGGAACGCATGAATGAATGAACGAACGTTCCAATAAATGTAAAATATGTAAATAGAAATTAAAGAGCAAATGAAAAACAAAAAAAAAAACACACAACGGAAAAGTAAAAGTATCTATAGACTACAAATAATGTTAAAAAAAGATGATGATAATTATAATAATAATAATAATAATATTAATAATAATAATAATAATAATAATAATAATAATAATAATAATAATAATAATATAATAATAATAATAATAATAATAATAATAATAATAATAATAATAATAATAATAATAATAATAATAATAATCATAATCATAATAATAATAATAATAATAATAATAATAATAATAATAATAATAATAATAATAATAATAATAATAATAATAATAATAATAATAGAAATAATAATAATAAAATAATAAAAATAATAATAACAATAATTATAATTTTTTCTCCGCATATAGTTATTCAGAAACTAAACCAGAAGAATTGTGAATGAAATAAAAACTTAAAATTATCGAACTTAAAAAAAATTCTCAAACATTAAATTATGGAACCTCAATAAAAACCCAACAGAAAAAAACATCTTCACTTTTTTAACTCGTGACAAGTGCTAAGCATTTAAAAGCAATCGAAATAAAATTAAGAAAAAAAATAACACAACAAAACACTCGAAAATGTCCGAATCTTCATCGTCGAATGTAACATCATTAATCGCCCTGCCGCTGCTACCACAACAAAATAAAATGTTTACAAAACATTTTCGACGAAAATCCATGGATTATCAACAGCAGCAGCAGCTGGAGCAAAGCAACAGCAGCTTTACACATAGCCCACGGCTAACAACAATGTCCAGTTTAATAATTATTTTTATTTTGTTAAGTGTATCAGTAAATAAGGTAAGTGGATGAAAAACAGACATACATACACATACATATATATTTTTTACAATATTCAGAAATCATTTTTTTTTTTTTGAGGAATTCAAAGGGACTTTAAATGTTTAATATTATAATAAGGGCCAAAATGCATGGATTTTTAACATATTTTTCAAGGACCGATAGACCAATGACCGTTGATTTTTATTTTATTTTTTCAAGGATCAACAGACTATTAAGCTCGGATTTTTAAATAATATTTTTTGAGGGACTATTAGACATGAATTTTTAAAGCATATTTTTTAAAGGACCAACAGACTGTTAAACTTGGATTTTTAAAGAATATTTATCGAAGGATTTATTTTTAAACTTGGATTTATAAAGGATATTTTTTCAAGGACCAACAGACTATTAAAAGTGTAATTTTAAAGAATATCTTTCTAAGGACCACTAGACCAACAAGCGTGGATTTTTTAAAGAATAGTTTTCCAAGGACCACCAGGCGTGAACCAAGCGTGCATTTTTTTAACATATTTTTTCAAGGACCAACAGACTATTAAAGGTTAATTTTTAAAGCATATTTTTTCAAGGACCAACAGGCTGTTAAACATTGATTTTAAAAATATACTTTTATAAGACCAACAGACCAATAAGCATGGATTTTTTAAATATATATTTTCAAGGACCAGCAGATAAATAATCGGGGATTTTTAAAGAATATTTTTTCAAGGACCATCATATCAATAAGATTAAGGACCAACATACCAATAAGCGTGGATTTCGTAAACATATTTTTCCAAGGACTACAGACCAATAAGCTTGGATTTTTAAAAAAATATTTTTTTCATGGACCAAAAGACAAATTAGCGCGGATTTTTTAAACATATTTGTTCAAGGACCAACAGGCCATAAATCGTGGATTTTTAAACTATAACTTTTCAAGAACTTCAATAGACGTGGATTTTTAAAAATAACTTTTCAAGGACTAACAGACCAATAAGCGTGGATTTTTAAGAATATTTTTTCAAGGACCACCACAGCAAACAAGCGTGGGTTTTAAAAAATACTTTTCCAAAGACCAACGTTTTTTTCAAGAATTTTTAAATATTTGTTTAAATATTTTAGTGTTTTTAATGACTTCTTTTCAAGGATTTTTAAAGACTCCTTTTTTTAAGGAGACGCTAAGAGGCGCGGATTTTTTAAACATTTTTTTGCGATTTTCAAAGACTTTTTTCAAGGACCCACAGACCAAGAGGCGTGGATTTAAAAACAAATTGCGGATTTTTTTAAGACTCCTTTCCAGGACCAATGGGGTTGGATTTTTAACATTTTTTGCGTGGATATTTAAAGAATATTTTTCAGGACCAACAGACCAATAAGCGTGGGTTTTAAAAAATAATTTTCCAAAGCCCAACGCTTTTTTCAAGGATTTTTAAAGACTAAATTTTCTAGGATTGGTTTTGTCTAGCCACCTTTTTCCTTTAATTTTCTTAATCCAGAGGTCTTTTTAAATGTCTCCCAGAGACATAATATTTTTCAAAAGTCTCTTTGGGTTAGATACTAAAAACCGATAACTGGTTTGGAGAAACAAACGACATTTGACAGAACTTTCGAAGGCAGAAACCATTTTACTGATCTTCTAGAGGGAGAAGACCATTTATGGTCCATCTAAATACAGGGGCCTCTTATACATGGAGGACCTTCTACCGTCCATTTTTAGCTGAAAGACATTTTCAAGTCTTCTCATGCCTCATAACCCTTTACACGTCTTTTTTGGCTAGAAGACCTTTTACTAGTCTTTAGTAGGCATATGTCCAATAACAGGTCCTCCATAGCCAATAAACATTTTACATTTCTATAGTCAAAAAAGTTCTCTAAGGTCTTCCATAGACAGAAAACAGGAAACCTTTTTTCAATTTACAGGTCTACTGATTATAAGAGACCTGTGAAATGTGTTCCTATGAATTCTTCTCATTTTCTCCCTTCTCTCCAACCATTTAGAATATCCTCTCTTTTATATATTCTCTTCTCATCATTTCAAAAAACAGCATTCTATTCGGTGACCTTATCTGGGCGCTTAATTAAACGGCATCTTGTAATAAATTATCATCATTAGTTTAATCTTGACCCAATGTTTAAATATCCTACAGCAACAAACACACAACAACAACAACAGCAACAAAACACAAACAATAACAAACTACTGTTGTTGTTCGTCTGCTTCATTGATCATTGTGTTGGGGCATTAATAATTCTGGCTATCTTTTGTTTGACGCACAAACCCGAACCCCGTGAGGCAGTCAAGTAAGACCAGCCGACAGACTGGCCGGTACATACCGCCAGACTTCATTCTATTGAAAGTTATTTGTTTGCTTTCAATATTTTGAAGTTTACTAACGAAAATCAACAAAAACAAATATCCAAACGATACAAATCTTTGGGTTATTGGCAGAATAAAAAAAAAAACGGTGTGTGTGAGAAAAAATCGAATTCTTCCCTAAATACCTTTTCTCGTGGCGGTGGTGGTGGAGGAGACGTGAAGTACGCATTGCTTTTAATGTGCGCTTGTGTCTTAAGTCTTTTGATTTTTTTGGGTTTCTTTTTTTTTTTTTTTTGTTGCTTGGCTTCTCAAGTGTTTGATTTTTCGAAAAGTTAAAGCATTTTCGTATTTGTTTAGCTGTTATGTGTGCTCCGTTGCCGTTTGAAAGTTTTCTTAATTGGAACATTGCTTTATTCGACATTTCGACAGATTGAGTTTGATTTGTTTTTTTTTTTTGCTGTTCTCTTCCCTTCTTTTGTTTTTGTTCATTTATCGGTTTTGTTGAAAGATGTCGTTTTTTGACAGTTTAATGCGGAGTTTTTTGGCAAAGGGATTTTTGATTTTTTTTCCTGTTAAGGAGATATTTTGTTCTAATCGTGTTTATTTGTTTTAATGATGACAATTCTCAAGGGAACTTTAGAGGGATTTAAAAAAAAAGTCGGAATAGCGGACGAAGGCTGGTAATTCTTAGGTGACCCTTAAAATATGTACTGTAATAACTCCTGTTTTGAAAGGATTTATGTTGGCATTGCAGGAAAATATATGGAGATTTTTAATATATTTTTATAGACCTATGAAAGGCAGATTCTTCGGCAACCAGCAATATTCGTAATTGGTTGACAAACTTTAATATTTTAATTAAGGCGCTAAAAATTCGTATATTTCAGAAGGTATTTTCTCAATAAGATTTGGTAAGCCTTCGATCAGTCATACATATATATGGCATTTTTCAGATATTTTATAAGCCTTAGGATTTTTGCAAGGAATTTTTGTAGACCTAAATTCGTCAAAAAAAAAAAACGCTTATTTTGGAGTCATTAAAAACGCTAACAAGTGACTTTTAAAAGAATTTTGGATAAACCAAATATGGAATTTTATTGGGTCCTGCAAAAGTAGGATACGTCCTTTTTAGAAAATTACAAAAATATTTTGAAGGATTAAAAACATGGAACTTAGGAAGGTTGTTTGATGTAGATTTTTGCAAAAAGTTTTGTTAGGCCCAAGGAAGGCCATGGAAAGACCTTTAAGTGTGAATCTTGATAGGTATTATGTAAGGCCTTAAGAGAAGTCAAAAATCGAATTTCATACAGAATATGGATACGCCAGAGAAGGATATTGAAAGGTCTTCAAACAAAGGATTATAAACGTAAGACTAATAAGCTCCTTTAATGTGGATTTTTGTAAAGAAATTTGGAAGGAAGACCTTGAAGACACTAATGAATTTGGCTTGGGAATGAACCGGGCAGGATCATAAAGGTTGGTTTTTGTAGGAAATTTAAATGGCCTTGAAGTATTTAAGAAAGGTTATAAATTTCGATTTTATAGGGTAATATTTGCGGTATTTAGGGGGATTTTTAAAATAATATTGGTAGGCCTTAGAAGCAATATAGAAGAATTTTTAAAAGAAGTTTGGTATGAACCAAAGGCTAATTTTTAAAGAAATTTTATTGGGACCTATATTATTTGTAGAGTATATTTTTAGGAACATATATTTAGAATGGGAGAAAAGACGGAATTTTGTAAAGAAAGGCTCCAGAATGACCTTAGAAGGAACATCGAATTTTACAGAAGAATTTTGATAGGCCATAGAAGGACGTTGGAAGGTCCACAAATGGTGATTTTTGAATGAGGACTATGAAGGGTGATATTTGTGGGAAAGACTTTAAAAGGATATGACTTATGGGGTTATTTTGGAGGGCCTTATATGAGATGTTAAAGAGTGCCCTCAGAGACGTCTCTTGTGGGACATGCCAAGGGATTTAAACGTGAATTTCTAAGAATATTTAGTGGAGCACCATACTGTGGATTTTGTAAGGAAATACTTGCGAGATTTAAACATGGAACTAAAAAGAATTTTTTTTTGTATTTTTTCAAAGATGCCTAGGACCCTTAAATGCCCTTAAAAGGAGTCTCCAATATTTTCTGGGCCATAAAATGACCTTGGAGGGCCTGTAAATCCCAATTTTTGTAAATAATTTGTAAGATTATTTGAGGACTTTAGAAGGGCCATGAAGATGGATTCGATATGGGAATATTTGCGGGAAGAAGAAGGACTTTGTAATAGGCAGGATTTAAGGACGGTGTTTAGAGAGCTTAAACATGGAATTTTAAAGGACATTTTTGTTTAGTGCTCTTGCATGAGTTTAAAGGACGCCTCTTGTAGGGTCTTTCAAACGTGGGCTTTTTTGTGGGAGGGAGGGGGAGGATGAAGGAGAGCTTTGTGATAGGAGGGGATTGAAGGAAAATTTGTGGGCGCAAAGAAGGATTTAAGATGTTTAGGATGTTTCTTGTGAGGTCTTTAGAAAGCATAGTCTTTAAAAAAAATTTATGGATCACTAGGAGGGGTTTTAATGAGGAAATTTCTTTCGGGCCTTCGAGGGCTTTCAACATGAATTTGTAGAAGCCATTTTGTTGGGAATTGGGAGGGCTTTAAACGGTTTTAAGGAAATGCTTTTTAAATTTGAATTTTCTTTTCTAAACA